AAAAAAAAAAAAAAAAAAAAAAACACAGAGGATAAAAAGTAACTCACTAGAGCATTGTCAACTCCGTAGCAGTCCAAATATTTTATGCCTCTCATAGCCATATCTTCCAATAAACCTGATGTTCTCAAAGCTGCAATTGAATCACAAAATAACGTCTTAACGAAGGTTGTAAATAGAACATATATCATTGGATGCATATGTAGATAATTGTGTTTTACCTGAATAAACTCCTCCGTTTCCATCAGGCGACTTTGCCACCTGGCTTTAGAACGTTAGGCAATTATAACTAGATACAGAAAAAGCGGCAGAAGTGATCGAAAAATAACAAGACCAAACATAAAACAAAAATCACAAAAAGATTTAGAGTGAAATTCAGTAGACTACAACTCTTAGAGAAACTAATAATTATTTTACGTGTTTCAAAAGTATGGTTAAATAGCAGGTAAAATCCATATGTAGAATTGATAAGAGATAACCACATAAATAAAGTTGACAAGAAAATCCTACCCTGTAAGGTGCTTCCATTATAAATCTACCATCTCTTGATACACATGGTATAGTGCCTTGCTGGAAGAACATGACCTGTATTCCATTCAAAATTTCCATAAGTGCCACTGATGTTTTAAGATCGAGATATCAGACCGAAACAGTACAAAAAATCTCACTTGATCTGCTTCAAGGCCAAAATATTTGCGTCTTTCAAAGAATTTTCGTGTGGGTTCATCAGTAAATGGACTAGTCATAATGTACCAATGAATAGGTGTGATACTAACAGAAGCTGCATGCAATGTATTAAAGTGATCAGGGCTGTTGAACAGAAGAGGATACTACACAAAATGGAAAATGAAACTTACCCTCATTCACAGATTGAGCTGCGAACCGTTGAAGGCACAAAATTCGCTCAGCTTGAAGTTGGAAAAGTGATTTTCCAGATGGAAGTCCGATGTCTAACAAGAGGATAGAAACAAGGATAAAAAAGAGTTCGTATTCAAGGACAATAAGGTTTTTGTCAAAGAAAAAATAATACATTTCTAGGATGCTCTTCTGCTAATACAACCAAACTCGAGATACGGGCACCAGTTTATACGTATTAGAAATATTGCCTTATAAAAAGTGAATATAACCTTACAAAAACAAGTCTTAAATCCCCCCATCAAGTGTGAATTCAGTATATTTTCTTTGAATAAGAAAAACAACTTTACTTACTGAAACAGCCTTTTGGGTCTGAACTCCCAAGACGAGTTCCCTGCATTCAAAAGATTCAAAATCACAATGAGGAAAATTTAAGTACTACTTAACTAACTAAATCTTTAATAGGTAGCGACATGTCAGGGAATCATTATTTACTACAATATTCTAGATAGAATAATCGTACATGTGATTATGTGAATATGTTATTAAACAGAAAGTTTGATCAATGTGCATGTCCCTAAGTACAGTAAAATACTGTTTTTGTTCCAGAACCCAACATAACATATCATATTTCATATCCAGATAATCAAGTAATTCTATCAAAACAAACTGCAAGTCATAATTCGAAACAAATTTATGTTATGTCCTATTGCTGAGTGCAAAATATTTTTACGACAATATTCTGAGATAGGACACGCGTCCGCATACTTCTACAAAGTTTCAAGACTAAAATATCTCAGAAGAAATGTTTATCTTCATTGCATTTTCACGTGAAACGAATTACACACGTACTAGATTCGACATCATCCGTAAAGGTAATAAAAGCATAGTTTCCTTTTCCTTCTCACCACTAAGTCATAAATTCGCCATCATCGGATATTGTGGTCCACGTCATACAAGAATTATGATCTCACCTAACTTTGCTACCTAAAGGACCATCAATTTCATTTGTTAACCATTAGAAAAAGACCCCACATGTAACTTCCTTGAAGGTTGCTGCCACATATTCCAAAAGTAACCAAAAAAAAAGCTATTCGGAGGGATGAATGAAGGCTTCAAGATTAACAAACCTGTCCACCGGACAAAAGTAGCACACCCAACTTTCCTTCTGAGATGGCCTTCATTCCCATTTTCCACCATCTCTCCCTTTCTTCCATTGTCCGCCTTTCTACAGTTGAAACGTTGCTCTCCGGGACCGGTTCTATTGCGGCTGCCTGTAGCCCTAATTGATCACATAATTTAATTTTTTTAACACATACATTGTAAACAAAAGCAATTTTATTTGCATAAGCAAGATACAAAGCGGTAGTAACAAGTGAACCTTGAGACCGAAACGAGCATCGAATAATCCGATCAACTCTCGAGAGATCTAAGCTCTGCAATTCAGAAAGTAAAGAAATACGATCAAACGATCAGTTAGTTGCACAACTATACAAACATTAAATCCAGAAAGTTAACTACAATGACTGGAGAAAACTAGCAAGCACTCATATTTATCAATTTGAGGATTAGCAAATATTTTCTACAAATGATCATCGAGAAACAATAAGATCACGGACCAAGATCATTAACTACATAAACATGGAAAAATTCAATCTTGAAAAAAAAATCCAATCTTGATTCATGACTTCTCAACACAAAATCCAAACTAAAATTCAAGATTAATTTCGAACACTTAATTTTTATGATTGGATAAAACACACACCGTTAACATGTATATATTTCCAATCTCAAAGGATTGAATTTCCACGAACTGAAAACCCAAGCACACACACACACACACACAAGTAAAACGAAGGAGGGAACAATCGAAGTGCGAACTGACCTCCAGGTCCTTGATAAGAATGTCGCGTTCTTCAGGGGAGAGCTCCTCCCAGAGGGCAAATGCGTCTTCCTGGCCGTAATCCTTGAGCCTCTCGAGCAGAGACTGCGGCGGCGCATGGGTGTTATTCTCCGGCTCCCTCATTTCCCGATTCTATCACCGCCGGCGGAGATCTGAAGGAGAACTGGCCGGATTTATATTGGGTGGGAGAAGAAAATGTTTCAGTTTGGTGGTTTATAAGATAAAACTTCTAAAAAATAAACCAGTGAGAGAGGGAGGAGGAAGAAGAGAAAGTCGAGTGTACTCCTGAAAAAGTTAAATGACGCATATGCCACTGATACCCGACGGTCGTTGAGGGGTAATTTGGGGATTTTAGCATCACCGGTAGCAAAGTACCGGACAATGGGACACATAGTGGTTATGCTGTTTAATCGTTAAGCTTTGCCATTTTAATTTAATTTTTTATTCATTATTATTTTACGAAATTAACAAAAATTAATATCACAAATTCGTGACCTTACATTAAACTTCAATGATTTCCATATGATTAAATAGGTCAAAATCACCACATGTGGAATTACCGTTAGAAGGATCGACTCCTCATATTTATTTTAACAAAAAATCATATTTTTTTATAGTATATTATAATTTCATTTATATCGTTTTTTAAATTATGATATTTTATTTTGAAAGTATGTACTTAACTAACATTTTTATTAATAAATTGCTTAATATGTTTATAGATTAGAGTTAGTGGAGATGTTATTATTGGTAATACGAATATTTATGAATTGAGACACATTAGATAAGAGTACTGTTTAAGGAAGGTATAAAGAAGGAAATGTGCACATACATATTATTCGTTCCATTTTTGTTTGTGATGCAAATAATATCTATTATTTTTTGTATTAAATTATTTTGTAGATTATTAATATCTATTATTAATATTAGCATTCATTTTTGTTTGTGATGCAAAATAATATCTACTACATTATTTTTGTATTAAAATATTTGTTAGTTTAATTAATATCTATTATTAATATTAGCATTTAATAGTTATTTATATATATTTAGTGATTCGGTAGACAAGATATGTTTTAGGGTTTGAGTGTTTTATTTAAAGATCCTTCTTATTTGTTAGTCGGTGGTAAATTTTGAGATTAAATCAGATATGATAAGTTTTGTGTCTTTTACGAGAGAGTATCCCGTTTATCCAAATTGTACCTTCTCTTTTAATGTACAATATATCACTATTGTACCTTTTTTTTTTATTATTTTTATTTCTCAAATTCAAATGATAGAGGAATGAGAGTAGTGGTCGTCTTCACTCTTCGTCATTATTATTCAGTTGCTTCAAGAATTCTATTGACAACTCAACACATCTTCCAACATATTTATGGAAATTAACTGTTGGATACAAGATAGTACAACAGAATGAATGTCAGCTTGCATTAATAATTTATTTGTATTATTAAAAGTAAGTAGTTTATGAAATAAATTTTTATAGTTTGTTCATCAAACAATACTTTATTTGGTTATGTTGAAATGTTGGACTATATGTTATAGACTTGATGTTATGTTATAGACGAATGAATAGCACTATATACTCGCATACGCGTATGTGCGAGTATATAAGTCATGTGAGGGCGATTTTTCAGTGTGAGAAAATGAAAATTTGGGTGTCATATATCCACTCTTTTTTAGAAAATCATTTAACTCATCAATTTGTAATTTTCTTATCTTTGACCACGTGCCAAATGAATTCACACACATTTTGGCCAAATACATTGCTTGTAGACACCAATCAAGGCATCTTCCAATATTAATTTTACAGTTCATCAATAATGATTAACAAATAATAAACTAGTAGAAAACAATAATTATATACAAAAAAAAAAAAATCCTCGATCGATCTCATGTAATCTTGACTTACATGAGAAATTGTGGTTTAACTTTGAGCAATCTTTAGCAGAATGTATATACAATAATTAATGCATGACCACATATATGACATAGATCAAGAATCAACTTTTATCCTTATTTTTTCTCAACTAATAATTCCTAAAATAAATATAAATAAATGAATTATGATGCATCATAATCCATTTCAGTTTTCACGTGCAATGAGGAGTGCGTACGTCCATTCCTAATTAATGGTTATTTTAGGTGACCTTTGTTTGTTGGCAATCACCCGACGTTTGTTATAAAGATATGTATTCATTAATGCAGTTTGCACCTAATATAATCTATATATATATATATATATATGTGTGTGTGTGTGTGTGTGTGTGTGCAGCTAGCCAACAGAAAAGATAAAATTAGTATATACTCCACTTTTTTATGTAATAAATAATATGTTGATTAAAATTATATCTACTTTAGTTTAACTTGCTGTAAAGTTTTCCATCTCCATGATTTCATATAGGGCTGGGCAAAAAATTCGAACCGAACCGCTGAATCGTAGATCCGAATCGAAATCGAACCGAATTTTCGGTTAACCGGTGTACTCGGTTCGGTTACAAATACCTCAAAGGAAGTATTTGCTCGGTTCAGTTCGGTTACGGTTTTTAAGATTTTTTTACCCCGGTTAACCGAACCGAACCATATATTATATTAAAATTTATAATATATATTATATTATATATTATATATTAAATTTATATATATTAAACTAACTTATATTTATATATATTAAACTATATATATTAGGTTTGCTCGGTTCTCGAATTAACCGAACCGAACCGAACCGAACCGAGCAAACCTAACACAGAATTGTATTAGGTTTGCTCGGTTCGGTTCGGTTCGGTTAATTCACGAATAGTAGGATTTTTTTCGGTTAACCGAAAATTCAGTTAACCGAGATTTTCGGTTCGGTTTCGGTTAGCAAGTTCGAATATTTGCTCGATTCGGTTCGGTTAGCAAATACCTGAAAAAACTCGGTTACTCGAACCGTGCCCAGCCCTAACACTATATACACTTTCTTTACAATTATCAGGATATCATGCATGCGTGAGTTGCATGCATATCATCCTGCACTGATTTTTCTTTTGATGGCTTCATATTATTTATCCATATATTCATGTAGTTGCATAGCCAGGGAGAGATATGAAATAACGAAAATTTAATTTACAACCACCGACAATTATTAAAGTAGTGGCATGGGCCAATTTGGGTAAAAAAATTAAATTATTAACACACGTATATAGCTTTCAATTCCCAGGCCCTTTTGTTATCCAGAAGATATGGGCTACAAGCCTAAGAGAAACATGGGCCTAGACCAAATTAGGCCCAGAGAAAACAAGTGTCTAATAAAACAAGAGATTTTTGTTTATTTACCTTATAGAAATTCAAAATAAATCCACAATAAAATATATAATGGGAAAATTTGTTGTCTGCTGATCTGATTTATAATTTTATATAACCGAGACCGAGGAACATTATTTGTGGATATCTTTTTGTGTTTTGAGGGTTTTTAATTACCTCACTACAAAGAAGGTCTTACCTAATTCCCTGAGTTTATGCCGTTGATCCGTTTTGTAAAAGTAAATTCGTCACATGACATTTTCTTACCAACTCATATCATGTGTGTATGTGTAGCAT